AGCAGCAGGACCGCTACCTCCGCCTTTGTGCAAGGAGGAGCAGGAGGAGCACTGCCAGAGCCCTGCAAAATGACCTCCAGCAGGCCACAAATGTGCATGTGTCTGCTCAAACGGTCAGAAACAGACTCCATGAGGGTGGTATGAGGGCCTGACGTCCACAGGTGGGGGTTGTGCTTACAGCCCAACACCGTGCAGGACGTTTGGCATTTGCCAGAGAACACCAAGATTGGCCACTGGCGCCCTGTGCTCTTCACAGATGACAGCAGGTTCACACTGAGCACATGTGACAGAGTCTGGAGACGCCGTGGAGAACGTTCTGCTGCCTGCAACATCCTCCAGCATGACCGGTTTGGCGGTGGGTCAGTCATGGTGTGGGGTGGCATTTCTTTGGGGGGCCTCCATGTGCTCGCCAGAGGTAGCCTGACTGCCATTAGGTACCGAGATGAGATCCTCAGACCCCTTGTGAGACCATATGCTGGTGCGGTTGGCCCTGGGTTCCTCCTAATGCAAGACAATGCTAGACCTCATGTGGCTGGAGTGTGTCAGCAGTTCCTGCAAGAGGAAGGCATTGATGCTATGGACTGGCCCACCCGTTCCCCAGACCTGAATCCAATTGAGCACATCTGGGACATCATGTCTCGCTCCATCCACCAACGCCACGTTGCACCACAGACTGTCCAGGAGTTGGCAGATGCTTTAGTCCAGGTCTGGGAGGAGATCCATCAGGAGCATGCCCAGGCGTTGTAGGGAGGTCATACAGGCACGTGGAGGCCACACACACTACTGAGGCTAATTTTGACTTGTTTTAAGGACATTACATCAAAGTTGGATCAGCCTGTAGTGTGGTTTTCCACTTTAATTTTGAGTGTGACTCCAAATCCAGACCTCCATGGGTTGATACATTTGATTTCCATTGATAATTTGTGTGATTTTGTTGTCAGCACATTCAACTATGTAAAGAAAAAAGTATTTAATAAGATTATTTCATTCATTCAGATCTAGGATGTGTTCTTTTAGTGTTCCCTTTATTTTTTTGAGCAGTGTATTTGGCTAAGGTGTTTTTAAACTTCCGACTTCAACTGTAGCATGATAATTTTTTGATGAACCATCCTGAACCAAATTTGCCAAAACATCCCACAATATGGATTTTCATTAAATGGTTTTACTCTTTGACAGGGTGATTACATGAAAAGTCCTCAACCAGCATTTTTCCCAGCAGCACACAACATCAGGAACAGGCATCGGCATGCCTCCCCATTCTGTCTCGGTGTCAACAACACAGCTACTCACGGCCCACTGCTGTGCGAATTACCATCCTTGGGGCCCCCATTGATCTTGTTAGTCAGTCTCACTCAGATATGTTAAAAACTGCAAACATTTCTCTCCACCCTATGGCAAAATGAGTAGAATTGAATGAAATTAGTAATACAATTGCAAAATCTTCTCTATGCCCCATCGCAAAATGTGTAGAATTGCACAAAAAACTAAATAATTCTCTGCTGTCAAGAGGCGGGCTGCTAAAATGTTTTACTACCCAGACCCGTGAGCAAATGCAGCCCCTCACCCCCTTCAAAGTTGCCCATCCCTGATGTATCAGGATGGTGAGGTCTCTTGTCAGGGTACAGACTATGCTGCTGGAAAGAGCTTGTGCCAATTTGGGGTGAGATCGATCTCTTCAGTAGAGTTCAAAACAGCTAGTGTTCTACAGTACACCAGTCCTGTACTCAAACATTAGGACACAAGTACAGGGAAGTATAATGTATCATGATGGGGACGTCTTATGTCAGGGTACAGGCCATTCCGTGAGGCTTAGTTGTTCGAGTATGGCGCTTGCAACACCAGGGTTGTGGGTTCGATTCCCACGGGGGACCAGTACGACAATGTATGCCCTCACTACTGCAAGTCGCTCTGGATAAGAGCATCTGCTAAATGACATACATACACCTTGTAAGCAAGCTCTGGTGTTGTATAGCTCCTATTATATTGCTGGGTTAATAAAAACAGGTGAACTGCCAATAGAAGAGTAATGTATACGAGATGACCTCATGCTAATCTTTGTGTAGCTAGGAAATGTAACATTGATAATTGAAAACCTGTGGAATACTGAGAAACAAGACTGATCCAACCATTAAAAAAATGTTAATGTGCATAAAAATAGCTTTATTTCCAAATAAATCAGAACCTGCATCCAGAAATCAATGATTCATTGACTTCTACACTCGATTGGTGATTCACATCTCTTGTTGTGACAAAAAAAAAAAAAAAAAGCAGCAGATTTTTCCCCATGCAAATGACACATGGCTCAATTCAGTTCCCCTGAACAATTACATAGCAATCCTTCTACAAAACATAAATATATACGGCTTAAAATTGTCTACAAGAAATCGAAACCCTTACAAAATAAAAAACCTGTTTCAAAACTATTTGCTTCTGAAAATCTTGAACTAGTGTACATAAAAATGTTATCACATACAACAGCTTAGAGGGGGAAGTGCCCCAACCTGAAAGGCAATAAAATATTTGACAGTTAAATTAATACCAACATTTTTTAACAAGTAATCTACTAAAACACTAAGAACAGACACAGAAAAAGTTAGTACTAGCATTGGTAGTTAAAAAACATATTTCCCACTATAGGCTTCTTAGGCATGAAGAAACCGATTATTCCAAGCATTTACAGTATTGATGTTAAACTGAAAGTATTGGGAAGTGAAGAAAAAAACAATTTTGGCATTTAAATATTTGGTAAATAAACATCTGCCAAGAAATGGCTAAGTACCAAGTTTAACATCTATTCAAATGGCTATATACAGATCCCTGGAAGCGTACAGTCCATGTGCAGTGACGATTCTTGTTTTCTGTCAACAGCGATAAACCATAACTTCTTCAAATAGCTTAGTTTACAAGTATGGTAATCACTTTGAGATAAGGCCTGACATAATTAAAAATGAGATCACCAATCATGTACGTGTGATGTCGTCGTACACATAACTGAGTGGTCTGTGGGTGGATTGTGGGTGTATTCACACAGTGATTTGTCAGAGAGGAATAACAGCATGTTGATTTGTGTACCGTCTAAATGAAATCATAACACCTTGGATAATCAAACTTGGCCCATGCTATATTGATATGGTAGCATGTAAAGTTATTTTCATCAATCTGGGATTCACTTCAGTCAATCTATTTGTTCTTGACAAAATACATTTGAATCAAAATGGAACCTTTCATGATACCACTGCACATGGAATATATATATATATATATATATATATATATATATATATATATATATATATATATTTTACACACACACTGCAGTCGGAAAGTATTCAGACCCCTTCTGTTTTCCCACGTTATTACGTTACAGCCTTATTCTCAAGTGGATTAAAGAAATGTTCCTCAATCTAAAAATAAACAGAAATATCTTATTTGCATAAGTATTCAGACCCTTTGCTATGAGACTCAAATGTTTCCATTGATCCTCCTTGATGTTTCTACAACTTGATTGATTGGAGTCCACCTGTAGTAAATTCAATTGATTGGACATGATTTGGAAAGGCACACACCTGTCTATATAAGGTCCCACAGTTGACAGTGCATTTCATAACAAAAACCAAGCCATGAGGTCGAAGGAATTGTCCGTAGAGCTCCGAGACAGGATTGTGTCGGCGCACAGATCTGGGGAAGGGTACCAAAACATTTCTGCAGCATTGAAGGTCCCAAACAACACAGTGGCCTTCATCATTCTTAAATGGAAGAAGTTTGGAACCACCAAGACTCTTCCTAGAGCTGGCCGCCCGCAATCGGGGTGGAAGGGCCTTGGTCAGGGAGGTGACCAAGAACCCAAATGGTCACTCCTCTGTGGAGATGGGAGAACCTTCCAGAAGGACAAGCATGGTGGTGGCAGCATCATGCTGTGGGGATGTTTTTCAGCAGCAGGGACTGGGAGACTAGTCAGGATCAAGGGAAAGATGAACGGAGCAAAGTACAGCGAGATCCTTGATAAAAACCTGCTCCAGAGCGCACAGGACCTCAGACTGGGGCGAAGGTTCATCTTCCAATAGGACAACGACCATAAGCACACAGCCAAGGCAATGCAGGAGTGGCTTCGGGACAAGTCTAATGTCCTTGAGTGGCCCAGCCAGAGCCCGGACTTGAACCCGATCAAACATCTCTGGAGACCTGAAAATAGCTGTGCAGTGACGCTCCCCATCCAACCTGACAGAGAAGAATGGGAGAAACTCCCCAAATACAGGTGTGCCAAGCTTGTAGCGTCATACTCGAGGCTGTAATCGCTGCCAAAAGGTGCTTCAACAAAGTACTGCGTAAAGGGTCTGAATACATACGTAAATGTAATATTTCAGTTTATTTTTAATACATTTGCAAGACTTTCTAAACCTGTTTTTGCTTTGTGATTATGGGGTATTGTGTGTAGATTGATGAGGGGAAAAACACAATTTAATCAATTTTAGAATAAGGCTGTAACGTAACAAAATGTGGAAAAAGTCAAGGGGTCTGAATACTTTCTGAATGCACTGTATATATAAAATGCAACAGTGACAGACTCCTGTAATACCAGTATCGACACAAGAATGGGTACCAAGGTTAGAGTAGGAGGGAGGAAAATAAATAGCTGTACCAATATTTGTACCATGTCACCACACTGAGTGTGAAGTTCTCATTCACCTTGTTAGTGTCATTAAACAGAGAAGGTGGGAGGGAAATGTATTTACATGGGCAAGAAAAGCTAAATAAAAAAATATTGTACTGCATTGTTTGGCAGCTGAAATGATCCTCTTCCTATTAACGGGTAGTTAATAAAGTGTTGCTTCCGATTCAAAATGAACCATTTTAGAACTAATGGAAGAAGAGAAGCAGTTTTTTTGTTTGTGATAGTTTCTCCCTCCGGGACTTCCCAGCTGCGCAGAAAGCAGACAAGAGGAGAGGTTTGCTTTCAAGAGGTACTGGAGAGCAGGCACGCGGCCCGGCGAAGGTGGGCTTTATGCGTAGATCTCTGTGGTGGGAGCCTTTTTGTAGATGGGCTTCTTTCCCAGGTCGTAGCTGCCTTCGTCCTTCTTCTTCATGCGGTTGACGAGCAGGAGGATGAGGAGGACAGCAAAGAGCAGCCCCACTGCTCCACCAGCAATCAGAGCTGAAACGGAATTACAATCAGAGCGGAATTACAATTAGCCCCACTAAAGAACATTCTTGCATTACTTTGATTTGACAAGCTGCAAATGAAGCCACATTTCTGACTAAGTGAAATTGAACTGCCACAAATGCTTCCCAAAAAGTGTTTTTATAGATTTTGTATACCTTTTTTCAAAGTTAAATAACAAACTCAACTTCAACAGTTCCGTTGCCTCACCTGCTAGGACCTCAGTCTTGTTGAAGATGCTCTCCTCCCCTGCATGGGCCATCAGTACGTTTGATGGGTGCTCCTCAGGCTTGGGAGAACCCCGCACTGACACTTCATTGTTCTGGACCAATTGGATCTCATTAACTGTGGGTTTGGGCCTCAGGTCTGTAATCTTGTTGTCGTTCATATAAGGCTATGGGACAAAAAGCAGTGAGAATTAGGCCTACAAGTCATTACACCAGAAAAAGAGGAAACAAAACATTAGCAATTTGTGGGCTCCCGTTTGGTACATGATAGCTAATTACGAGAAACCTTACCTTTGACTTCATGGTATTGTCGTTTTTGATTGTTATAGTTGGTACTGTAGAGAGAAGAGAAAACTGTTAACATTTAATTATATTCTATCAGCTAGCTAAAGCAAATGAAGAACTTTTTGCTAAAACCAACCTCCGTCTCCAGAGCCAGAGAAGTCGTCATAATCCTCATCGTCGTCCGTCTCGTCCTCGTTGTCAAATGTGTCGTGCTCCTCATCGGGGAAGCCAAAGTCGGAGCCGTTGGCGGAGTCTCCAGACGAGACGAGCTCGTCATGAGACATGGCTTGGGTCGTCTTCATGGGCATCCATGTCTCAGTCTCCCGCAACTGCTGGCACAAACACACAGCACTTAAGAGGCAGAATACTAATCCAAGAGCAGCAAGTAGAAACAAAACACAGAACCTAGCTGGCATATGGCTACATTTCCAAAACCACTTTTCAACCGTGGAGAACTACATCAAGTCTTAGCCTACATCTAGTAGCTTATTTTGAGAAATCATTTATTTTATAGGGCTGGAAATTGCCAGGGACCTCATGATATAATATTATCATAATACTTAGGTGCCGATACGATATGCATTGTGATTCGTACGATTCTGTGTATTGTGATTCGATCCTGGCAATTACCAGCCCTAATATACAGGAAACTTCCAAAATAAAGGAAACACCAACAGTGTCTATAGAGCGTTGAGCCACCACAAGCCGCCAGCTCCTTGCTACATATTCTACAAGTGTCTGGAACTCTATTGGAGGGATGAGACACCACTCTTCCACGAGATATTCCATCATTTGGTGGTGGAAAACAGTCTCAGGCGCCACTCCAGAATCTCCCATAAGTGTTCAATTGGTCCCACTGTTCCTTGTGAAACAGCAACAATTTGAGCAATCTTAGTCACTGAAGCTCCTGCCAAACCATAACCCCCCTAAGTCACAGAGATCTCTTCTAGCAATGGTAGCAAAAATAATGGGCAACTGGGACTGCCCAGCATTTTTATACATGACCCTAAGCATGGTGTGATTAACTCAGGAAGCACCTGCTTTCAATATACTTTGTATCCCTCATTTACTCAAGTGTTTCCACACACACAAAAATATAAAACGCAGCATGTAAAGTGCTGGTCCCATGTTTCATGAGCTGAAATAAAAAAAAGATTCCAGAAATGTTCTATACACACAAAAAGCTAATTTCTCTCAAATGTTGTGCACAAATTTGTTTACATCCCTGTTAGTGAGCATTTCTCCTTTGCCAAGATAATTCATCCACCTGACAGGTGTGGCATATCAAGAAGCTGATTAAAACAGCATGATCATTACACAGTTGTCTCCAGCAGAAGGTGCACTAAAATCCCACAGATGCCTCAAGTTGAGGGAGCGTGCAATTGGCATGCTGACTGTAGGAATGTCCACCTGAGCTATTGCCAGAGAATGTAATGTTCCTTTCTCTACCATAAGCTGCCTCTGTCTTTTTAAAGAATTCGGCAGCCGAATACTTTCTGCACAAACTCAGGGAAGCTCATCTGCGTGCTCGTCGTCCTCAGAGTCTTGACCTGATGTGTTACGCTGCATGAGACAAATGGTGGTCACACCAAATACTGACTGGTTTTCTGATCCACGCTCCTACTACTTTTTTTTTTTTAAGGTATCTGTGACTAACAGAAGCATAGATTAGGGCCTAATGAATTTATTTCAATTGACTGATTTCCTTATATGAACTGTAGCTCAGTAAAATCTTTGAAATTGTTGCGTTTATATTTTTGTTCCATCTACAGTACCAGTCAAAAGTTTGGACACCTACTCATTCAAGGGTTTTTCTTTATTTTTACTATTTTCTACATTGCAGAATAGTAGTGAAGACATCAAAACTATGAAATAACACATATGGAATCATGTAGTTACCAAGTGTTAAACAAATCAAAATACATTTTATATGAGATTCTTCAAATAGCCACCCTTTGCCTTGACAGCTTTGCACACTCTTGGCATTCGCTCAACCAGCTTATATAATATAATAAAGCGACTTAGTCATGCGTGCATAATTTTTTTTTTTTTTTGTGTATGGGTGGTCCCGGGGATCGAACCCACTACCTTGGCGTTACAAGCACCGTGCTCTACCAGTTGAGCTACAGAGGACCACATGAGGTAGTCACCTGGAATGCATTTCAATTAACAGGTGTGCCTTGTTAATTTAATTTGTGGAATGTATTTCTTTCTTAATGTGTTTGAACCAAACAGTTGTGTTGTGACAAGGTAGGGGTGGTATACAGAAGATAGCCCTATTTGGTAAAAGACCAAGTCCATATTATGGCAAGAACCGCTCAAATAAGCAAAGAGAAATGACAGTCTATTACTTTAAAAAGTCAATCCGGAAAATAAAGAACTTTGAATGTTTCTTCAAGTGCAGCCGCAAAAACCGTTAAGCGCTATGATGAAACTGGCTCTCATGAGGACCGCCACAGGAAAGGAAGACCCAGAGTTACCTCTGCTGCAGAGGATTAGTTCATTAGCGTTAACTGCACCACAGATTGCAGCCCAAATAAACGCTTCACAGAGTTCAAGTAACAGAAACATCAACTGTTCAGAGGAGACTGCATGAAAATCAGGCCTTCATGGTCAAATTGCTGCAAAGAAACCACTACTAAAAAGGACACGAATAAGAAGACTTGCTTGGCCCAAGAAACACAAGCAAATGACATTGACCGGTGGAAATCTGTCCTTTGGTCTGATGAGTCCAAATTTGAGATTTTTGGTTCCAACCGCTGTGTCTTTGTGAGACACATGTGTGGTTCCCACCGTGAAGCATGGAGGTGGTGGTGTGGGGGTGCTTTTCTGGTGACACTGTCAGTGATTTATTTAGAATTCAAGGCACACTTAACCAGCATGGCTACCACAGCATTCTGCAGCAATACGCCATCCCATCTGGTTTGCGCTTAGTGGGACAATCATTTGTTTTTCAACAGGACAATTAACCAAAACACACCTCCAGGCTGTGTAAGGGCTATTTGACCAAGAAGGAGAGTGATGGAATGTTGCATCAGATGACCTGGCCTCCACAAATCACCCAATTGAGATGGTTTGGGATGAGTTGTAGCGCCGAGTGAAGGAAAAGCAGCCAACAAGTGCTCAGCATGTGGGAACTCCTTCAAGACTGTTGGAAAAGCATTCCTCATGAAGCTGGTTGAGAGAATGCCAAGAGTGTGCAAAGCTGTCAAAGGCAAAGGGTGGTTACTTTGAAGAATCTAAAATATATTTTGATTTGTTTAACACTTTTTTGGTTACTACATGATTCCATGTGTCATTTCATAGTTTTGATGTCTTCACTATTATTCAACAATGTAGAAAATAGTAAAAAGAAAAACCCTTGAATGAGTAAGTGTCCAAACTTTTGACTGGTACTGTATATCACACAGAGTGTAACAAAAACATCTGCCCTTTCCATGACGGACTGACCAGTTGAAAATTATGATCAATTTTTGATGTCACTTGTTAAATCCACTTCAAATCATTGTAGATTAAGGGGAGGAGACAGGTTGAAGAAGGATTTTCAAGCCTCGATACAATTGGGACATGGATTGTGTATGTGTGCCATTCAGAGGGTGAATTTGTAAGACAAAAGATTTAAGTGCCTTTGAACAGGGTATGGTAGTAGGTGCCAGGCGCACCGGTTTCAGTGTGTCAAGAACTGCAATGCTGCTGGGTTTTTCATGCTCAGTTTCCCTTGTGTCAAGAATGGTCCACCACCCAAAGGACATCCAGTCAACCTGACAACTTTGGGAAACATTGGAGTCAACATGGGTCAGCATTCCTGTGGAATGCTTTCGACACCTTGTAGAGTCCATGCCCCGACGAATCGAGGCTGTTCTGGAGGGCAAAAGGGGGGTATTCACACCCCTAAGTCAATACTTTGTCGAAGGACCTTTGGCAGCAATTACAGCTGTGAGTCTTTCTGGGTAAATCTCTAATCCACACCTGGATTGTGCAGCATTCGCTTGTCATTATTTTCAAAATTCTTCAAGCTAGACAACCATTTTTCAGGTCTTGCAATAGATTTTCAAGTAAAAACGCTAACATTCAGTCTTCTTGGTAAGCAACTCCAGTGTACAATTGCCCTTGTGTTTTAGGTTATTGTCCTGCTTAAAAGGTGAATTAATCTCCCAGTGTCATTAATTCCCAAGCAGACCAGGTTTTCCGCTAGGATTTTGCCTATGCTTAGCGCCATCCCGTAAAAAATGTTATCCTGAAAATCTTCCCAGTCCTAACGATTACAAGCATACCTATAACATGATGCAGCCACCACTATGCTTGAAAATGTGGAGAGTGGTACTCAGTAATGTGTTGTATTGGATTTGCCCCAAACATAACACTTGGTATTCAGGACAAAAAGTTAATTGCTTAGCCACTTTTTTTGCAGTATTACAGGAGTGCCTTGTTGCAAACAGGATGCATGTTGTTTGGGAATATAGGTATTATGTACAGGCTTTCTTTTCACTCTGTCAAGTATTGTGGATTAACTACAATGTTGTTGATCCATCCTCAGTTTTCTCCAATTACAGCCATTAAACTCAGCAACTGTTTCGAAGTCACCAAAAACATAATTCCACTTTGACATTATGGGGTATTGTGTGTAGGCTAGTGACAAAACTAAATTTACTCAATTTTAAATTGTAACAAAATGTCTGCATTTGTATTGATTAGATTCACAGTGCTTTTCAACAGTCAAATGTCATGTAAAGAAACCCTTTATGGCAATATCGCAATGAGACGGTCGTCACTAGTTACCACAGCCACAAATTCAGAAACCCCGCCTATTTCTACAATTTCTCTTAACCACACTGCTAACCTTATGCTTCGCCTTAAATTAAATTAAAAGACCAAAAATCACAATTTTTGTTTACATGAATTTTTACGATATAGCTTTGTGGCTGTGGTAACTAGTGCAAACCCAATGAGCGCTTGTTATGACAAGCGCACGCTAGCTGTTTATGATGACAATGTTTTCTTACTGAAACCATAATGTAAATTACTGTAATTCAATACAAAATGTATTGGCTATATATTTCAACTGCAAATGGCATACACTGATGACAAAACTTTCATGCAGGAAAATAGTTGCTGCACTGGTTTCAATCACATTCTAATTACACCAGCATCAATCTTCTCATCATGAATGCAAAACACATTGAGTTGCGCCGCACAAACTGATGCGCCTGGCACCTACTACCATACCCCACTCAAAGGCACTTAAAGTCTTTCCCCATTCACCCTCTGAATGGCACACATGCACAATCCATGTCTCAAGGCATACAAATCCTTCTTTAACCAGTCTCCTCCCCTTAATCTACACGGATTGAAGTCGATTTAACAAGTGGCATCAATAAGGGATCATAGCTTTCACCTGGTCAGTCTATGCCATGCA